TGTTAGTTTATAGATATGTATAGTGTAGTCTTGTCCCACATTGGAAGAGGAGTAATATCTCCTTGTAGTGTATAGCTATAAATAGGGACCCCTTGTATTGTATTTATCATCCAATATCAATAACATATTTTCTCGCGTGCCTTCTCACATGTCCAAAGCAAGGTAGAGTCCACATGCAGCTAAACGCATCTACTTGTTCATGAAATACAAAAATAATTACCAATCTCTGCTGAAACCAGTCCACCCAAGTTTTAGATGGTTAAATTTAGTAAGGATGAGTAATGAACCAATTTTGGTAATGAAAATTCTAGCTGAACTCTCAAAAGAAAATAGAAACACGCTATATCAAAATTACTATAATAAAAACTGTGTTGCATTCTGAAACTAAATTTATGGTTATCAAAGTTTGTCATTGTTCGAAATGAGTTAATCTTTAATCTTTTTAAGATGCGCTAGCAAATAAACAAGCTTGTTGGAATAGAATCGAGAACCTGAATAGTAACCTTAGGGGCGGTGTTAACTATCCCCTATTTCCCACCAGTTAATTTCGAAAACTAAAGACCTATTCAAAGGGGAAAGTTGGATGGCATAGTCAAATGGAGAAGGATTAGACATATAAAAGCAAGCATCAGTAAAAATGCAAAATTACTGCACCACATGGTCCAGAAACCACCTTTGTATCAAGTGAGGATGCATATCGGGTTTGGCATCTAAGGTTGCTACCTTGAGCCAAGGTCTCCATTTGGGGTTTGGGCACAAGGAAGCCCAGACGTAAATCAGCAAAGTTTGAACAGTTTGGCAGTTTCAAAAAACAACGCTCATAAATACTACAAAGGGTCATAGACAGCATGCCATGGTTGGTAAGTGCATGACTTCCATGCCTATTATCTATGCAGACCAATGTTTGAACAACCAGAAACACCTATGAATGAGTTTGATCCTTGAAATAGGAACTCTTCTCCCAACCTAACCTTTTCAGTTTCCTGTTTTCGCCAGTTTAACAACAGAAGCAGTAGAGTCTAGAGACTTCAACCTATGCTAATTTACAAAAAGTCAATTTCCAAGTCATTCTAGGCTGAACTTATCTGGGGAAAAAAACTCGCAAGTAGAGAACTTTATCATCGAGAACTTCGAATGATCCAGAATTTAACTTAACTTTTCTTAAAAAGAAAAAAAAATAGAATTGATAATAAGAATAGAAGAAATAGCAAAAGACAATTATGCATGTGGCTTTTAATTACAGGGGCGCAACCGTTGGCATTATCATAGCAGAAGCTTTCTCAGTCATAAGAGACAATGGTTAATGCAGTCAGTCAAAGTTATAATTATGCAGTACCCTATGAAACGAGGACTACTTCACCTGGGGATTCTTATCACCAAATGCTAAGCCCTTGCAGAAAGTTAGTCTGTTCTGTCATTCAAATATTTGATCCGCTATGAATGTTGATGCTAATGTTAGTGGCCCGCCGGTGTTATAACTTTTTTGTTTTACTAGCATTCTGTAGAGTGCTATTTTCTCGAACATAATCACCATAAATAAAACCATGTCCTTTGATTACCCAATAAACGTGATGTCTTCTTCAGAACATTGTGCTAAATAACATATGTGGTGAATTACTCAAGTCTCTGCATAACTAAAGTGATGATTAATAATATGCATCTTCATTTTTTGGAATAATGGCGATGTCCAACTTGCATGCCCTTCAACTATTCCATACCTACATCCTCCCATCCAGGGTAACTTTTCTCACTAACGCTTAAGCAAATATAGGAAGAAATCACCTAGCTTTTTTGCCTTTCTGCTGGAATCTGACCCCTTGTTTCCCATGGTCTTCCTTCCAACTTATCCATTAATCATATACATCTTGACTACTAATTTAGTGATTACTAAAATCAGCATAACAAAGACACTTAATTTCAAGGTTTGAATACAATTTGGTGTTAAAACAGAAGAACAAGAACAGCAGCATATCTAAAATGCTCCCTTCAGCTGCTAAAAAATAACTTGCAAAGAAATATGAAGCGTAAAAGACCTCAAACCTCTAATGAGCTAAGCACAACTACTGGCCACCGTAAACATTGACAATATCCTCATTTAATTGAAATAATAACAGGCAGTCAAAAAGAGAAAAAAACTCAGTAAAATGCAAGAATCTTTACCTTAACAGCAGGAAATCGCTTGTTGGGCCTTAAGGTAATTCCGGAAACGAAATCGACAGAAGTAGAAGGAGAATCAGAAAGGGAGACAGCCCTTTTATGCAACTTTTGATTTGATGTTTGAATAGAATTCAAAGATGAAGAGAATGAGGTTAACAATGAAGAATTTGAAGCAGAAGAAGAAGAGAAGCGTAAAGAGTTCAGAGAAAATCCCATTATATCAGCCATAGAAAAACCAAAAAGTAAGATTCTTTAATATGTCTCTTTAATATCTTCCTCTGAATCCTCCTTTGCTTTTTCTTTTTCTTTTTGGGGAATCTCAGTTCCGTATATATACACAGAAAGAAAGATTGAGTATGTTCCAAGTTACATCAATGGAAGCCCAGACCCAGTGAGATGGAAAATGAAAGCCATTTAATTGAAGGGGCAATTTGATATTTGATTTTTTTCGTGTGTTCCTATGGAAGATATTGGCATTATTATGTGAAATGGTGTATTACTGTTCAACTACTGCAGAAAGGCTTGACCACACACACCCGGAATAATAAACATAAAAGCAAATTGCATGTGAAGATTTTGTGTGAACCATATTTTACGACGAGAACTATCTACTTAGATATTTCTTTTTTATTTTTTAGTATTGGTCTACGTTAAGGCTGCGTTTGGATGCATGATTTTAACCTTTGGTCAACATTTCAACAATTCAACGAAAACTGTTCACAGAAAAAATGAGAAAAAATCAATGATTAGAAGATCTTGGTGTTTGTGAATTGTGAGGATATTGGTATGTTTCTAAGGAAAGGTTATAAGGAGAATTCAAACACTGAATTTTAGTTTCAGAAATCAAACAATTTATAACTATTACTTTTCTAAAATGTAAGACTGAAACTTCATGAGTTTAAGTTTGAGATCTTACTATGATTTATTTTATTTTCTAGTTTCAAATTTAATTATTTTTACTTATATAATGAATTTTTCAATACATATATAAGACTCGAACCAAAACTATTAAGTTATGAGAAATTTATAACTTTTCCCTACATTCGTAACATCCTCCAAATGGCAATGTCGTTATAGTTAATAGAAAAAGAAAAGGCCTTGGTCGTATCCTTGATAAGGTCTAGAACAATAAAAAAATTATATCTCAAGAAATTCAGCTCTTTAAAATTCCAACAATTATTAATGTAGTCTTGATTTTCTTTGGGCGAAGAGTTGCATATGTTCCACATTCATGATTGAGACTAAAAGTCGTTGATTTAGGAAAATGGAATGAGGAGAAATGTATTCCTTATGCAATGTGTTAAGTTACTACTATCATGGTCATTTTCATATAACTTGGGATTGGAAGTTCCAGAAAGATTGTCTTTAGGTTGTTGTCCAATTGTCTCTTAACCTACCAGCTGCCAGACATGAGAGCCATACAGTTGCACAATTATAATGCATTGACCTTTTCCTATTCCAAATCTTACTCGTCTTTTTCATTCTTTTAACCTTTACATCAACGTAATGTTAGGTATCTTTCCTTTTCTTAAGGAAAAAATACATATGTTGCCTTTTAAACTTGTGCAGAAAAATTATCAAAGAAGATTTTGAAACACAAATTATAGAATTCAAAAGCAAAACCATTATGATGCTATCAGAATTGGTTCGAAAACAGGGAAGAGGAAAATTTTGGTTCTTGACTGGAGTTCGACAATCCTCGGCAGATTTTACCCTTTTGAATCTAACTGGTTATGATGTAATTCATTCGTACCAAGTTGAGTGCAGGTTCTAAACCTGTTTTTTAGCCTCTTACACTGGATTACTGATTTCAACTGTGTAATATATGAGGTGTGCAGAAATTGATATCAATATACGAGTTCCTCATTCTTTTGTTTCACATTATATAAGAGTTTGAAGATCAATTCTTGAGTTGGATGCCTATAGGAGTCATCACTATTTGTGATTTTGCGGCACAGTCTCATTTTTATCAATGGTGTCACGGAAATAGCCTATTTGTGCAAATCACCCTAATTTATTGTTGTTGCCTTGTTGTACAAATTATGTATATCTCGTTAAACAAATTACCAAACTAATCTTGTGTAGTCAGAAGGAAAGTCCTGCATCTGACTTTGGTAATTCTGCTTCCTCGGAAGCAGGCCCTTCAACTATTCCATTGTTCCATTTCACTTTGTTCGCACTCCATTTTCCATTTGCTATAACAAGAACCAAAACATGAACAGTTGAATACACACCAGAAGAAGGTATAGTGCCCACAGTTTTCACTTCAGAAACTGTGTTACCCATTGAAGAATCTACTCATTCCATCTCAGGTAACTGATTCTCCGGACACCCTGTTGAAATCCAACTACACCAAAGACAGTACCTTTTTTCGTAGAATGATGAATTCTGATTCAATCTTCCTCCTACCATCAAGCAACAAGCCAATGGCAATACCCACAAAGGAGGAGGAAGAAGAAGAAGAACCACCAATTTCCACCACTACTTTGCTTTCTTTTGACACAGATTCTTCTTCCCCGTCTACTCCTCCTAAACACCCTTTGACTACTCTAATTTTCACAGCACTAATTCTTGTCACTTGTTTAGCTGTCTCTGCCGCTTTTGCCTTTGGTTTCCTCTTCTTTTCCTCCTCTTCACGTCCTTCTCTATCCATTTCTGATGATGTATCAGTTAGGCCACTCAAGAAACTCAAACGTCCAGTTGTTCTCTTGGTTTCCTCAGATGGGTTTCGCTTTGGGTATCAGTACAAGACAGATACCCCTAATATCAATAGATTGATCAAGAATGGAACAGAAGCTGAATTGGGTTTAATACCTGTGTTCCCAACTCTGACTTTTCCTAATCATTATGCTATTGTTACTGGTTTGTACCCTGCTTATCATGGTATTGTTAACAATTATTTTCTTGATCCCAATACTGGTGAGGCTTTTAGTATGAGGAGTTATGATCCCAAGTGGTGGCTCGGGGAGCCGCTTTGGGAAACTGTGGTCAATCACGGTCTTAAAGCTGCTACTTATTTTTGGCCTGGCTCTGAGGTTAATAAAGGAGGTTGGACTTGTCCCCAATCTCTATGTCTTATGTATAATGGTTCTGTTCCATTTGAAGAAAGAGTTGATACTGTTTTGAACTACTTTGACTTGCCAAGTGATGAAATTCCATCGTTTATGACGCTCTATTTTGGAGACCCTGATTATCAGGGTCACAAGGTTGGCCCGGATGATCCTCAGATCACTGAAGCCATTACAAGAGTTGATGGGATGATTGGGAGGTTGATCCGAGGTTTAGAGGAAAGAGAGGTTTTTGAGGATGTGAACATCATAATGGTGGGTGATCATGGTATGGTTGGCACTTGTGATAAAAAGCTAATCTTTTTGGAGGATTTGGCTCAGTGGATTGAAATCCCAAAGGATTGGATACAGTCATATAGTCCATTGCTTTCCATTCGTCCACCACCAAGTTACTCCGCCAAGGATGTGGTTACCAAGATGAACAGGGGCTTAAAGTCAGGGAAGGTTAAGAATGGTCAGTATTTGAAAGTGTATCTGAAGGAGGAGCTCCCTGCTCGGCTTCATTATTCAGCGAGCGACCGAATACCACCCATCATTGGGTTGATTGATGAATCATTTAAGGTCGAGCAGAAGAGCTCAAAAAGGAAAGAGTGTGGTGGATCTCATGGGTATGACAATGCATTCTTCTCAATGAGGAGCATCTTCATTGCACATGGTCCTCAGTTTGCCAGAGGCCGTAAAGTCCCATCTTTTGAGAATGTTCAGATTTATAATCTGATTACCACAATCCTTAATATACAAGGAGCTTCTAACAATGGGACAACATCATTTCCAAAGACGATTCTTTTACCCGGCCACTAAGACATTTTTGAGAAAGCTAATTAGGGATGTGAGATAATATTTGTATGCTTCACTTAGCAATTTAAGGTGATGAACACAAATTCAGAGATGTAGGAAACAAAAAGTAAGATCCTTTTAGATGTTTTTTTCTTCCTCTGAATCTTCCTTTACTTCATTTTAAAACTTTCTTTTTGGGCAATCTTAGTTCCCTATATGTACACAAACAAGGTTGTGTATGCTCCAAGTTATATCAATGGAAACTCAGACCCTACCATGTGGAAAACGAAAGCCATTGAATTGAAGGGGCAATTTGATTTTTTCGTGTGTTCCTACGGAGATATTGGCATTATTGTGTGAAAATGGTGTACTACTGTTCAAAAAGGCTGGACACAAACATCATAAACATAAAAGCAAATTGCATGTGAAGAATTTCTGTGAACCATATTTTACGAGGAAAACAGTCTACTTTGATATTTCTTTTTTTTCTTCTGTTCTTTTCTTTTTTAATATTTTGATAGTTGGTCTACATTAAGGCTGCGTTTGGATGCATGCATTAGCCTATTCCAACTTTGGTTATTCGACCAACACTTCAACTCTTTGGTGCTTCTTATTGCCTTTCTTGGAAGCTATCTTCAGAAAAAAAAAAAAAAAAAAAAAAAAAAAAAGAGAAAAAAGGCCAATTAGATTGGAAGAACTTTTGTGTTTTTATTGGGTTGTTGCTATGTTTCTAAGGAATTTTAGAAGAAAATTACAACTCATAATGCTAGGAGGAATTAAGCACTTGAGGTAGTTGCTTTCCATTTGTGTTTTAGAGGGCTTACTTCACTAATCTAATATGCTACTCATAATCTACCAGCTATCAGACATGACAGCCAAACAGTTACACCATTATAATGCATTGACCATTATGACAATATTAGGTATCTTTCATTTCTTAAAGCAAACATATGACCTATCAATGGAGAAAAGAAGAAAAGATCTTAATGTAATCTCCAGTCCTATCTTAGTTGCTTAATTTTTCTGCTAATATATGATATAAAAGCTCCGCTAAGAGTTACCAACTAGAATCAAGGTACTCAGTGATCCAACATTAACAGACACAGAAGAAGCACACCCGAACTATAAGGGAGCATTTTTCATATCCAAATCAAATGAAACCCACTATCAAATATCTATGCGGAAAAATGTGAAATAACTATCGAATTCTATGAGTTGACAAACACTTGAAAGGTCCATCTTGCTGAAGAAACAACTTCTCTATAAAGAAGAAAAGAAACGAGAAGTAATAACAGTTATCCACTAAAAGCAGGCTATTTTGGTTCGGAAATGCATATAGAAACAACATCTTTGAGATCAGGTATGACATTACGAATTTCTCTAAAGAGTGCCACGGGGAGGGATAACCATGAAAACGGGATTCAACAGCAAGTCCAGAGAAATAAAGACACTTTCATGAAAATAAGAATGTGTTAATCACAACAATCACCGTCCAAGACTATTGCCTTGACAATGCGACACTAGGAAACATGCACCAGCATCCTCTTGTTATAGTAGCAGGAACAACAAAAATGGCAGCACAAGCTAAATGTAAGCCTAACCTATGATCAAGAGCACGGACTATGAAGTCAAAGTTCCTAGTACCAATCACACATGGCAAACAGATATGTGACGATTTTTCACTGAACGAATTTAGATGAGTCCATTTCACTCTAAGTCCCAAAGAAAATGTTTAAAGTTTATCTAGTTATGAACTTTGCTGCTTCCATCATTTGCAGTTTCAATTTTATCAACTCATCAATCAAAAACAATGGACGGAACATCATATGAATAAAGGAGAAAGAAATCTTTCTCATTCTAGAGTGTTCCCACCCACCCACCCCAAAACCAAAAAAAGAAACGCCAAAAATCAACAAAGGTAACGAGATGATAGAAAACAAAATACATACCACATATGGAGTAAAAGATAAAATATGGATACTGATAACTTTTTCATTTAGAAAAAAGATAGAATATGAATATGTTTAACAAATATATCGAAGGACATTCCTTTATCGATTCATTCTCTATCTACACAACAGCCACAATCTAGTAATTTAAAAATAGGCCAGCTATAAAATAAAAGCTGCAACACCTAATAGACTAATTACAGAAGCCAATAAAAGTGAAGTCATGCCACGAGGTACAAGGTGCATCACCTTAAATCAACTATAACAATCTTTTTTTTCTCTAATTGTTAAGTGAAGCATACAAAAATCACATGATATTCTCTCACCTCTAGTAGCATGAAGAATCCATCCCTAATTAGCTTTGTCAAAAATGTCTCAGTGGCTGGGTAAAAGAATCGTCTTCGGAAATGATGTTGTCCCATTATTGGATGCTCCTTGTATATTAAGGATTGTGGTGACCAGGTTGTAAATCTGAACGTTCTCAAAAGATGGCACTTTACTGCCCCTGGCAAACTGAGGACCATGGGCAATGAAAATGGTCCTCATTGAGAAGAATGCATTGTCATACCCATGAGATCCACCACACTCTTTCCTTTTTGAGCTCTTCTGCTCGACCTTAAATGATTCATCAATCAACCCAATGATGGGTGGTATCCGATCGCTTGCAGAATAATGCAGCCGGGCAGGCAGCTCCTCCTTCAAATAGACTTTCAAATACTGACCATTCTGAACCTTCCCCGACTTTAAACCCTCGTTCATCTTGGTAACCACATCCTTGGCGGAGTAACTTGGTGGCGGACGAATGGAAAGCAATGGACTATATGATTGTATCCAATCCTTTGGAATTTCAATCCAGGGAGCCAAATCCTCCAAAAAGATTAACTTTTTATCACAAGTGCCAACCATACCATGATCGCCAACCATTATAATGTTCACATCCTCAAAAACCCCTCTTTCTTCTAAACCTCGGATCAACCTCCCAATCATACCATCAACTCTTGCAACGGCTTCAGTGATTTGAGGATCATCTGGGCCAACCTTGTGACCCTGATGATCAGGATCTTCAAAATAGAGCGTCATAAACGACGGAATTTCATCACTTGGCAAGTCAAAGTAGTTCAGAACAGTATCAACTCTTTCCTCAAATGGCACAGAACCATTATACCTCATACAGATAGCTTCAGGACAAGTCCAACCTCCTTTAATTACTTCAGAGCCAGGCCAAAAATAAGTAGCAGCCTTAAGACCATGATTGACCACAGTCTCCCAAAGCGGCTCCCCAAGCCACCACTTGGGATCATGACTCCCCATACTGAAAGCCTCTCCAGTATTGGGATCAAGAAAGAAATTGTTTATGATACCATGATAAGCAGGGTATAAACCAGTAACAATGGCGTAATGATTAGGAAAAGTCAAAGTTGGGAACACAGGAATTAAACCCAGTTCGGCTTCTGTCCCATTCCTAATCAATCTATTGATATTTGGCACATCTGTTTTGTACTGATATCCAAAGCGAAACCCATCTGAGGAAATCAAGAGAACAACTGGATGTTTGAGTTTCTTGAGTGGCCGTGATACAACATCAGAAATGGGTTGAGAGGGATGTGAATAAGAGGAGGAAAAGAAGAGGAAACCAAAGGCAATAGCTGCAGAGAGAGCTATACAAGTAACGAGAATTAGAGCAGTGAAAATTAGAGTAGTCAAAGGGGGTTTAGGAGGAGTAAATGTGGAAGAAGAATCTGTGTCAAAAGAAAGCAAAGAGGTGGAAATTGGTGGGTCTTCTTCTTCCTCTTTTGTGAGTATTGCCATTGGCTTGTTGTTGCTTGATGCTATGAGGGAGACTGAATCAGAATTCATCATCCCACATAGAAAAAAAGGTACAATCTTTCGCCTTTCTGAGCTTAGAAAATTGCAACCAAAGACAAAGAATTGAAAAGGGTGAAGTTGGATTTCAAAAGGGTATAGAGAATCAGTTACCTGAGATCGAATGATTCCGTTAGTCCGGAGTGTATTCAACAATTCAGTCTTTTGGTTCTTGTTATGGCAGATGGGAAATGGAGTGTGAAGGAAGTGAAATGGAATGATTGGACTTATTAGTTGAAAGGGAGGCGTCAGACTCGGAGGAAGTAGGATTGATTAGCAAGTCAGGTGCTGGACTTTCGTTAAAACTACGGAAGATCAGTTTGGTGCTTAGATCAAAGAAAGAATTTTCTGCAGAATAATGGGGGAATTTCTTATGTGGATACCAGAATATCTAGTGAAACTCTGTTTGAAAAAGAAAAAGAAAATGTGTGTTTGATAACAATAAATTATACCTGAATTTCATGCTATAAAATAATACTTAATATTCATTTGGATTCATATTATTACAAAAATATTGGGTGAAAATCATTTTTATCCCCAAGTTTGCAGTAAAAATCAAACATGCATTATCTATTTTACCCTACATTTTCAATTGCTCCTCTATGCATATAAAAAAAAATTATATTTAAATTGGTAAAATACTAAGCTAAATATCTTGTTTTGAATTTTATTATTAAAGCTCAAAAAGATTTAATTAAAATAGTACTTTTGTGAATTTGTAACGAAATTCATCGTTACTCTTTTTTATTGTTACTTTAATATTAAGTATATGTTTAAGTTTTACTTTTATATATATATATATATACATACTTATGAATTTTTATTTTTATTAACTAAATATATTTTAAATTGTAATTTAAAGAACATCCAAGGTATAAATATGTAATCTTTTAGAAATTTATAATAAAATCTAACTTTATTTTTAATTATTATTTTTATATTACTCTGCCACGTTTTATTTGATTGATATTAACAATATCTTTTACTATAATATTTAATCTGAACATTTCTTTCATTATTCAATTTTAATAAATTATATATGATTGATTATCATTTTTTATCTTTTTAAATTTTTTAAAAGTGATTTTTACTATAGGTAAAATTTATAACATAGATAAAGAAAAATATCGTGATATTAAAAAAGTAAAAAAGAAATATCGATCAGGGCTAATAAAATTGAGGATAAATAGGTATTTTAAAAATACAATTGAGTTTCAAGGAGCAGAATTTCTATTATTTAATATTGGAGGAGGAGATTAATTTTTAAGATGAAGTTGGATGATCAAATTGTTTTCACCCCAAAAATATTTAATAACTTAGAGATCTTGACACCAAAAATCTATATAACTTTTACCAGCATATACATTTTAAATCAAACAAATAAGACTCCTAACAAATATTAAACCTATAGTAACGCTATAAGCATACCATCATATCCGAACTAGTTGGTATCCCATGTATGATTTTTTGGGCTTTTACTATATTTTTATTTCGATCAAAAATTATAT